AAGTTGCAGGTGGAACGTCCAGATCTCAGCCTCTGGACAGAATTGGGAGATGAAACCTGCACTCCTGCCCTTGTCTGGACGTGCCCCGACAGTGCTGTGCATTTCAGGGAGTTTGGAGAAACTTGAAAATCTGACTGAAAAATTCTCCAAGGGATACATACCCCTTTGAGATTTTTTGGGTCGAATTTTCAAGTTTCTCCAATCTCTTTGAAATTCACACCATGGACAGGGCGTGCCCAGATGAGCACAGGAGTGCAGGTTTCATCTCCAAATTCTGTCCAGAGGCTGAGATCTGGACGTTCCACCTGCAACTTATACCATTCAAAAATTCAGGCTGTTCATGGACAGTGGAATTTCTGGGTTCTGAAGGCTGCTAATTGCTCAGGGGCGCCCAAAGATGAACCTAAAATTGATATTTAATCAATTTTATTCATTTTTATCAACCATGACCTCAAAATATAAAAAAACATACCAACTGTAACTTATTTGACAGGGCCCCTTTGTGCACTCCGTGGACATGTCGTTTTAAGTCTAATAATGCATAATTGTGAACTGTAAAGTACCCCAACATGTTGGATTGTCTTCCCTGTGCACTGTACTGGCTGTTTAGAGTAATAAAACATGTATAATTATGAAATATGACCTTTTAATGCATTGACCACGGAGTGCACAAAGGGGCCCTGTCGAATAAGTTACAGGTGGGCAAAGTAAGGGCCCACCTGTGACTTGTTCGACAGGGCCCCTTTGTGCACTCCGTGGACATGTCCATTTAAGTCTAATAATGCATAATTGTGAACTGTAAAGTACCCCAACATGTTGGATTGTCTTCCCTGTGCACTGTACTGGCTGTTTAGAGTAATAAAACATGTATAATTATGAAATATGACCTTTTAATGCATTGACCACGGAGTGCACAAAGGGGCCCTGTCGAATAAGTTACAGGTGGGCAAAGTAAGGGCCCACCTGTGACTTGTTCGACAGGGCCCCTTTGTGCACTCCGTGGACATGTCCATTTAAGTCTAATAATGCATAATTGTGAACTGTAAAGTACCCCAACATGTTGGATTGTCTTCCCTGTGCACTGTACTGGCTGTTTAGAGTAATAAAACATGTATAATTATGAAATATGACCTTTTAATGCATTGACCACGGAGTGCACAAAGGGGCCCTGTCGAACAAGTCACAGGTGGGCCCTTACTTTGCCCACCTTCAACTTATTTGACAGAGGCCCTATAGGACAGTGGTTTTATGTGGTCAAACCTACTGTACACAACTCAGGGGACACACCACAACACACTCATGTACATTACAGCCAATAATTGTGCATAGTGTTAGACATTTTCAGCCGGTGAATCCCTGTAAGGAATTGGGGATTTCCGCATATGTGCTGAAGGCCAGTGTGTAACTTATCAAGCTACAGGTGGGATGCCGAATTTGACCGGATGTATCTCGGGAGCTAAGGGGCCCTGTCAAACAAGTTACAAGTGGGACCTGACACCTGTAACTTATTTGACAGGGCCCCTTTGTTTACTCCGTGGACATGCCCATTTAAGGCTAATAATGCATAATTGTGAACTCTAAAGTACCCCAATGTGTTGGATTGTATTCCCTGTGCACTGTACTCTATTTTTAAGTAATAAAAACATTAAAAATCACGAATTATGACCTATTAATGCATTGACCACGGAGTGCACAAAGGGGCCCTGTCAAATAAGTTACAGTTGGTATGTTTTTTTATATTTTGAGGTCATGGTTGATAAAAATGAATAAAATTGATTAAATATCAATTTTAGGTTCATCTGTGGGCCCCCCTGAGCGATTTGCAGCCTTCAGAACCCAGAAATTCCACTGTCCATGAACAGCCTGAATTTTTGAATGGTATAAGTTGCAGGTGGAACGTCCAGATCTCAGCCTCTGGACAGAATTGGGAGCTGAAACCTGCACTCCTGCCCTTGTCTGGACGTGCCCCGACAGTGCTGTGCATTTCAGGGAGTTTGGAGAAACTTGAAAATCTGACTGAAAAATTCTCCAAGGGATACATACCCCTTTGAGATTTTTTGGGTCGAATTTTCAAGTTTCTCCAATCTCTTTGAAATTCACACCAGGGACAGGGCGTGCCCAGATGAGCACAGGAGTGCAGGTTTCATCTCCAAATTCTGTCCAGAGGCTGAGATCTGGACGTTCCACCTGCAACTTATACCATTCAAAAATTCAGGCTGTTCATGGACAGTGGGATTTCTGGGTTCTGAAGGCTGCTAATTGCTCAGGGGGGCCCAAAGATGAACCTAAAATTGATATTTAATCAATTTTATTCATTTTTATCAACCATGACCTCAAAATATAAAAAAACATACCAACTGTAACTTATTTGACAGGGCCCCTTTGTGCACTCCGTGGACATGTCGTTTTAAGGCTTATAATGCATAATTATGAACTGTAAAGTACCCCAACATGTTGGATTGTCTTCCCTGTGCACTGTACTGGCTGTTTAGAGTAATAAAACATTTATAATTACGAAACATGACCTATTAATGCATTGACCACGGAGTGCACAAAGGGGCCCTGTCGAATAAGTTACAGGTGGGCAAAGTAAGGGCCCACCTGTGACTTGTTCGACAGGGCCCCTTTGTGCACTCCGTGGACATGTCGTTTTAAGGCTTATAATGCATAATTGTGAACTGTAAAGTACCCCAACATGTTGGATTGTCTTCCCTGTGCACTGTACTGGCTGTTTAGAGTAATAAAACATGTATAATTACGAAACATGACCTATTAATGCATTGACCACGGAGTGCACAAAGGGGCCCTGTCGAATAAGTTACAGGTGGGCAAAGTAAGGGCCCACCTGTGACTTGTTCGACAGGGCCCCTTTGTGCACTCCGTGGACATGTCCATTTAAGTCTAATAATGCATAATTGTGAACTGTAAAGTACCCCAACATGTTGGATTGTCTTCCCTGTGCACTGTACTGGCTGTTTAGAGTAATAAAACATGTATAATTATGAAATATGACCTTTTAATGCATTGACCACGGAGTGCACAAAGGGACCCTGTCAAATCAGTTACAGGTGGGCCCTTACTTTGCCCACCTTCAACTTATTTGAGAGACGGCCCTATAGGACAGTGGTTTTATGTGGTCAAACCTACTGTACACAACTCAGGGGACACACCACAACACACTCATGTACATTACAGCCAATAATTGTGCATAGTGTTAGACATTTTCAGCCGGTGAATCCCTGTAAGGAATTGGGGATTTCAGCATATGTGCTGAAGACCAGTGTGTAACTTATCAAGCTACAGGTGGGATGCCGAATTTGACCGGATGTATCTCGGGAGCTAAGCCGACTTGGGGCTCCATACTCTGGCCCGGAGTTTGGAGCTCCAACTCGGCTTGGTTCCCGAGATACACCCGGTGGTGGTGGTGGTGGACGAACAGGCCGTTCGTTGTCACACAGGTGGTCAGGGGGACGAATGAGCTGTTCGTGTCAGTGGGTGGGGCCCCGGGCCGTCTCTTAGATTGCCCGTTGGCCAACAGGCCGTTCGCTGTCACACAGGAGGTCAGGGGGACGAATGAGCTGTTCGTGTCAGTGGGCGGGGCCCCGGGCCGTCTCTTAGATTGCCCGTGGGCGAACTCGCTGTCACACAGGCGGTCAGGGGGACGAATGAGCTGTTTGTGTCAGTGGGCGGGGCCCCGGGCCGTCTCTTAGATTGCCCGTGGGCGAACAGGCCGTTCGTTGTCACACAGGTGGTCAGGGGGACGAATGAGCTGTTCGTGTCAGTGGGCGGGGCCCCGGGCCGTCTCTTAGATTGCCCGTGGGCGAACAGGCCGTTCGCTGTCACACAGGCGGTCAGGGGGACGAATGAGCTGTTCGTGTCAGTGGGCGGGGCCCCGGGCCGTCTCTTAGATTGCCCGTGGGCGAACAGGCCGTTTGCTGTCACAAAGGCGGTCAGGGGGACGAATAGGCTGTTTGTGTCAGTGGGCGTGGTCAGGGGGCGGTCACAGGCTGTCTTTGGTACGAAAGGGCGCTCAGTGGACGGTGGGTGTGGTCAGGGAATTTCCCGAAAAGGCGGTCAGGGGTAGGCGCGTGCGCTCCGTGGGCGCCCGCCTGCAACCTGTTCGGCGCGCGTCGAAACGACTGCAGGCGGTCGGCGAGTCGCCCCCCTGTGGCCGATGCCCGTATTGCGAGCGAGGGGGCCGAATTTCGTCGGGCTCCCGCGGGGCCCCCGAGGCCCCCCGGCCCGAGGCGACGCCTCTGGCCCGCCCCGTCGGTCCCCCCCTGCGGCCGGGCGCGGTCGGCCGGCCCCCGAAAAATCATCTAGGGGGCGGCGCGCAGCGTTCCGCTAACCTCCTATCACGGACTACCTTTTAAGCAGCTCGCGGACCGCTGGCCTAACGTGACGGCCTAAAGAGAGAAAGGGAACACAATGCAAACATTTTTGTTACTCAGTATTTGATCATTAAAAATCTAACAAAATAAGTGTGCGTGTGTGTGTGCGTGCATTTGAGCGAGAGTTTTTTTTTCATTTATTGATTTTATTTAGCATATTCTAAAAAATTAGCTGTTGCAGGTTTGCCAGTTTATCTCTGTGTGTGTGTGTGTGTTTGTGTGCGTAAGGGTGTGTGTGTGTGTGGGGGGGGAGGTGTCTTATTTGCACTCTTGATGTTTTAGAGTGTCACCCCAAAAAGTTTCCTGTTTTTTCGTATTTCCCATTCATTTCCTATGGTCGATCATTTTTGACCGGGAGGAAGCTAAGTGTGACTTTTTTTTTTACGACCCTTTAACATATCAGAATCATCTCCTTGATTTTTGTGTGTGTTCACATAGGTAATACAACAAAAGTCACCAAGTTTCATCCCATTCCGATGAAGAAATTAAAAAAAAAAAATTCAAAACGTAACAGTTTTCGGTCATTTTTGACCGAAGAAGCCAGTTACTTAGAATATATATGCTTCTTTTTCCATTCCTTGATCTTTAACTTTATCTATTTACCTTCAGTGTCCTGGCTGTCAAACATTTGTTGAGAGAGCAGACATTACCAACCTCTGTGCCATTTGCACAATCTGCACGGCTGAGATGGGTCGGACATATCAGTTCTGCTGGCAGTGTATGAGAGAGTGGGAAGGTCCAGGCCCTCGATCTGACCGCTGTGACAACCCTGGCTGCACCAATCCAGACATCGAAAAGCTGGCAAAATGTCGTAACATAACACTACCTGAAGTTAATAATGTGAGTTGTCCCTCCATGCGGGCTTGCCCCACTTGTGGCAATCTTGTGGAGCACGACACAACAGGGTGCAAGAATATCATATGTAATCGTTGCAGGGTTGAATTCTGCTTCGTCTGCCTGAAAGTCACTCAAACGTGTTTACAAACAAGCAGTTATTACATTGGCTGTTCAGCTGGGGTCGCGCCACGGCAGACTTCCATTCCTATCTGGAATAGAAGTGAAAGCAATTGAAGAAGCCAAGCAAAATGACACGTTAAAGGCTATATTAAAATGTAGTTGCCTTGTGTGGAATAAATAAGCTATGCAAAAATCAAATAGTAATCAAATGTAAGGTGAAGGCTTTTTGTGTAGATTTTTGTCCCTTGCTCTTGTTCTCTAAATAAAATGGATTGTGTTCATAATTGTCACATGGCCAGCTAAATTTGTTGTGGCATAACTGCACTACTATATGATAAAAAGTCAGTTAGCTGTTGCATATTGTGCCATGGGATATTTAATCGGAACAAAAAAGAAAAGCAGAAAAATTGTGTTTTTTAAAAGTTGTAAATAAAACAGATTATTGGAGACCATTTTTAAAGAAAATACTATTTCAGTGTTGTGTTCAATTTGTTATTTGCCATTTTTTGTGTGTAATTTACTAGTAGTTTCTTTGTTGAAAACTTTTGCTACACAAACTGTATAACAGACATTTACAACTATCAACATTTACTAGTTAAAATGAAATCCCCCTTAATTGCTAAATCCTTCTGGCAAAGAAACTGAGTGGAATGGAGGTATACTGGTTTTGGTTTCTGTTATATTGAAACCAAAACTCTGCTGACATTTGATTCTCTGACAAATGTGCCATGAGATATCAGAGAAAAAAAAAATCCTTTATTCTTCTCTGGAATTTTCTTAACAAACTAATGTTAAGACAGTGTTAATGTCAAATGTTAGACAGGTAAACAATTTAATTATATGGCAAATGTTGAATGGAGTTTACTTAAAGCCCTATGAAAATATGACCTGGTTTTTCAGCACAGATGTAGTGCCAACAAAAGTTAAGATGCAGTACAACTAAATAATGCAACAATTAAGCGTGCAGAACATATACTGATAAAAATGGTACATTCTAGGTTGCATGGTAATGTTGCTGATTATGGTACATCTCACACTGATGTGAGCTCTTTTACCAGTGGGGTAATCTGAGCTAAATGGGGACACAGTGAAGTCTTAAAATCACAGGGGAACGAGAGAAGACCTTGGTACCCGTCTCAGTTCTTTTTTTAATATTACTGAAACAGGTCTTGAGACCTTTAAGACATCAGCAGGCATTCCAGTGATCATTCTGAAAATCTTATATTTGTCATTATAATGTAGACATCACAATATTATAGACATTTCAAACTAATGAAGCCCATATAGAGACTTGTTTAACTGATTATGTGTTTATTAAGCATGAGGCAATGTATTTCACTCTAAACAAGAAAAATGAATAAAATTTTACAACAAAATAATTGGACCCATCTGTTAACTTTGATGAAAAAAAGACTTAATAGGGGCTATTCAGATGCAGAGCTTTGACTGGACGTTGTCTGCTGAGACTTGAGGTTCTTGTAGTATTTCTGGAGGAGGGAGAGAAAGGGGATAAAAGGTAACTAAATAAATTTAAGTGTTCAGAATGGACTTTAACAGCACTTAAAATAATATTTAATTCCAGCAAGTAAATAAGGTGCATTTGACATTCAAAAATTAAATAGTAACTTGTACCTCCATGTTCTGGTAATGCCTTAGGCTACTACAGTGACTTTTCTTAGCAGTTTCCTCACTGCCATAAAACAAAGAGCAGAGTCTGCAGAAGAAACCTGTCTTGGGCACCACAAAGTCAACCCCTATGATACACAGATAACAAAACAAAAAAATCAGCTTGGAGGTGATGTGATAAAGCATGCGTTTCAGTCATTGTTCAAAGCATTATCAAACAAAGCCTTTTTGGTTATAGAAAGCCAAAAATTTAGAGCTGATGTTAGTGTCATTTGTAGTGGATCTCTTACCAATGGGGCTGTCTGGGGTAAACGGGGGCAAGGTGAAGTCTTCAATCACAGGGGATTGAGATCGGGCCTTTTTAACCTCGGGTTCCTGTATCGACTCAGTCTCCCGACGTTGCTTGGACTCTTCTGCAAATTAAAATGAAGGAAAGGTACAGGTGAGAATATGCAACGGTACACCCAGCTAAAATATATTAATGTGTGATGTAAAATAGTTGTCTATGAGGTTGAATACCTTTGATAGTGGATTTTTTATTAGTGATTGGTGTGCCAAAAATTTCGCTTTCTGACTTAGCAGAATTGTCATCATCTTTAGCTCTAGGCCTGTCCTCTTCTGACCCTGAAGAGAGCTCCAGACTCAATGAATCTGGAACCGGTTCAGCCTTTTGCGGTTCTGGCTTAACATTAAGATCCACGGATTCAAGAGCAGCTGCCGCTGGTTCGAACTCCTCACTCATCTCGGGCTCCTCTGCTTCTTCAGCACTCTTTGTCGCCCCTCTTTTACCCCTTGTGGATCGCCTCACTACAAAGAGCAAAAAGGGGACAACAGTGATTACAAAACCCACAGGCCGTTTAGACTTAAAAAAAAAAAAATCCTTTCTATCTTTTACTCACCTGGGGTCTGACGACCCCTCTTTTTGGCCTTTGTAGCTCTCTTTTTAACTTGTTTCTCCCCTTTGATCTCTTCACTAGGTGGTTGTTCGTCTTCCTCCTCCCCAACTTCATCCACAGTTACAAAATTCATCTTGCGGAGCTCTTCCAGGTCACATGAATCCTCTTCGTGGCTTGGTGATTTCACAGGCTCCTCTGGTATGTTTAGTGTTGTGCTTCTGGGACTGGTTGACCTGGCTTTACTTTGCTCCAATTCCTTAATCTCCTCATCGTCACCTTTGGCCTCATCCAAGGTTACAAGAGTCTTAAAGGACAAAAAAAAAGGCCATGTAAACATACAGGAAAGAACTAAACCAAACCAAGGTAGCCTTAATGATGGGTTTGAATACAATTTAAGGGCTGGCAACCAAAAACGAACTGACCTCAGGGTTGAATGAATCAAATTCCTCCTCTTCATCAACAATCTCATCCAACGTGACCAGGCCTTGAAGGTCTTTGTCCAACTGGTATTCTTCACCCCCCGTTTCATCTTCTCCAACCTCATCAACTGTTAAAAGTCCCTCAGGTTCTTCATCAGCCTTTGAACGCTGATCCTCTTTTGATTCATCAAGATAATCTTCCTCACCCTCACTGACCTCATCAAGAGTAACCAAAGCATCATGGGATGGAAGCTCAGAGATCCCAGTTGCCTCATCTTTACTGTCCATTTCTGGGGCAGATGTTTCAGGCTGTTTGGGTTGGTCATCTTCTGATTTCACTAAAGTTTCTGCAGAAGATGGTGGGCAACCTTCCTTCTGTGAAGGAGAGGAGGAAACTGACTGGCTTGGCTCAAATTCATCCAAGACCCCAATGTCAGTGCTTTCTTTCACGGTTGAAAGGGTCTCAACATTGGCATCCATCTTGGCTGAAGCACTTTCAGCCACAGTACAAAGCTCTGTTGTCTCGCTCTTAACAACGGCAGTTTCCATCCCATCTGTTCCCAGCAGTTTATCAACACACTCTTCCTGAGACTCATGCTCTTCTGGCTTTTGAGATGCGACCACTTCCGCAACTGGCGTGGTTTCTTCAGTCTTGGTGTCCATACATTCATTAACTCCAGGTTCCCCTGTCTCAGAAGGTATAGTCTTGTCAGTATGTTCTGGTGTATTAGCTTGAATTGACTGTGCAATAGGAGAGACAATTGAATGGGGATCGGGTTCATCATGAGTCTTCTCTTCCCTGGCTGAAGACTCTGCGTTTGAGGCCACAGTGTCCTCTGCATCATCCCCTACTTCGTCAACAGTGACAAACTCATCGATGTTAAATGGAAAAGGTTCTTCATCGTTTTCCTGGAAAGCACAAATTCCTAATCAGCAACGTCTATTTTTCCAGTTATTAGACCGCAAACGTGTTCAATGTTGATGCTTACCTTTTCGGTTGTCCTTGAATTTGAGTGACTCCTTGAGGATTGTGAGTTTTTGCTATGACTCTATAAGAAAGCAAAAACAACAAATCAAGCCAAACCATTAACATTTCAGAGCAATTTTGCAACTGAAGAAACAGAACCATCAAAGTAAAAACAGTCTTAACAACATATATATATATGGTCCTTCTCACCCTGCGATCAACATCATGCCCCCTTGATCGCTTTGATGGAGGGCTGGATTCCCGCCTACTTCTTCGGGAGGATGATCCCCCACGCCTGGTGGTAGGACCATCTTCTTCAGAATTACCCCTGTTCCTGTGCCTAGAAGCTGACTCCTTCTCTGGGGATGAGGTGTCCACAGGCCTGCTTCTGGACCCGGAGTTCTGAGACTTTTTCTCTTTCTCTGCCTGTTTTTTGTTCACTGCTTGAGTGGTTTTCTTCGTCGCTTGAGCAGGTTTCTTTGAGCTTGATGGACCTTTTGTGGTTGTCTTCTCTGCAGCTTTTTCCTCCATCTCTGCCTTCTGTTTGGCTTCCTCTTCAGCACGTTTTAATGAAGACTGTAAGCGACACTGATGGACAGCTAATTCAAGGGCCTTCAAAATTTCCTGCGTAACCGGAGGAAAGTCCAGAGAGTCGTCGTCGATCTGGAAGGGCTCAGGGACTGTTTGGGGAAGGTTTGAGGCACAATCAACTGTGACAGATGAATTACTAACAGTATGATCAGAAGTGGAGGGCAGATCAGAGGCAGAATCTGAGGTTGAAATGGAGTCAGATGCAACGGCTGTAGGTTCAGTTTGATTACTCGACTCATGGTTAATGTCCGCCTCTAAAGATTCATTTGGTGCCATTGTCAAGTCATTCGATTGGCCCTCATTGTTGATCTTGAGCTCCTGTCCACATGCTTCCTCTTTGACATCAGTGCCTTTGGTAGGTTCTTCTGGACTCTGTGTCTCCATGGCCTCTACTGCCGTTTCCTCACTGCTAACAGCTGAAGCAACAATATCCATTTCTGACTTGGACTCAACATTCTTGTCGTCGTCTTGCTTTTTATTGTCAATTTTGCTTTCTTCCACAGATGTAGGAACCAATTCTTTGGGAGCATCTTCAGCCTGTGGGACATTCTGATTGTTTGCGAGTGAAGTCACTGTCTGATCAGTTGTGTCAAATAAGACAACGGATTCTGAAGAAGCCAATTCATCCTCTGCTTTTACAGACGCCATCGAAACAGCAGATTCTCCTGAGGGAGCCCATTCAAGATTTGTTTTCCCAGACTCAACTGAAACGGAAGATTCTGAAGCAGGAACAGAGGATGTAATTTCAAGCTCTGTTTTCCTAGATTCAGAAGCAGGAACAGAGGATTCAACTACATTTTCTGTGTTCACAGATTCAACTAAAACAGCAGATTCTGATGCAGGAGCAGATGATTCAACTTCAAGCTCTGCTTTCTCAGACTCAACTGAAACGGCAGATACTGAAACAGGAACAGATGATTCAAGCTCTGCTTTCTCAGACTCAACTGAAACAGCCGATTCTGAAGCAGGAACAGATGATTCAACTTCAAGCTTTGCTTTCCCAGACTCAACTGAAACAGCAGATTCTGAAGCAGGAACAGATGATTCAACTTCAAGCTTTGCTTTCCCAGACTCAACTGAAACTGCCGATTCTGAAGCAGGAACAGATGATTCAACTTCAAGCTTTGCTTTCCCAGACTCAACTGAAACGACAGATTCTGAAGAGGGAACAGAGGATCCAGTTTCAAGGGCCTTGTTCATAGACTCAGGTTCTGCACTGGGAACTAAGGATCCAGCTTCATGCTCTTTTTTCACAGATTCAGTCTCCAGGGTCACCATGACAGTTTCAGTTACAGCTTGGATATCCATCTCTGCTTTAATCTCAGGAGTATGCGTTTCTGCATTAGCAGGCATTCCAACTGCAATGTTTTTGGGAGCTGCAGTAAGTTCAGTTTTCAACTTCAACTTTTCTTCACTATGCACAGTAGATCTGGTAGATGCACCAGAAGCTGCTGCCGCAGCCACTGGCTTTTTAGCTTTGACCGTATTAGGTTTACTTTCTGTTGCTGCTGATTGTCCAGGAGGCTTCGTTCTAAGAGGAGAAATTTATTTTTAAATTTCCAGAATCATTTTATAAAGAAAAGCTAAAAAATGTTGTTCTTCCACTCTTACCCCTTTGCATCTGGCTTCTTTTTCAGCTGTTAAATAAATAACGACATGGTAAGTTATTAATTGCCACTGTGAAACAAGTGATGCCACACATACAAATGGCTAACAAAACCTGCTAAACTACCTTGATTGGTTTGGCCAGTTGGAAGTTGAGGGTATTGTTCTGGATTACACAACGAAACTTAATGAAGCGGATGAAAATAGCCCTAGCCATAGCAGCATTCTCCATTTCAAAAATCATCTGAGATTGAAAGAAAATTAAAACCAATATTACAACAGTCAGCTGAGATCTTATACGTTCCTTTAATAATGAAAATAGATCTGCAGATATTATGCAAGTAAAAATAAGAGTTAGAGAATAAATATGAAAGTTAAATTTGAGTTTCTTACCCTGCCATTTAGAGGCAAAACCTTCTTGAATTTACCATAGCGTTTGATTACGGTCTCTACTTCTTTGATTGCCACAACTGTTTTTGGTACATTACTAACAATGAGAAGGCGTTCTGGCAATGTGATGATTTCCTGTGGTCAGAAAGGGAAAAAACATTCACTATAGAAAAAGTCTGAGACATGATACAAGTTATTTATTTTATTTTAAGTCAGTGTTATCTCTTCAGCATTTACTTACAGGTGATTTCTCCATGCCCATGAACACTCTGAAAACTGACTCCTTTGGGAAGAAAAGGATAAAACAGTTGGTCAGTACTAACCAGTATTAATCAAGAGTATAAATGTACAAGGCACTCTTTCTTATAAACAACTTTAATTTTAGGCTTTAATTTTATCAATGGCATCCCTATCTGAGAGTTTTGTAGTTTGTCCGGGATGTCAAAAGTCTTCTTACAGTCCCGTTTCAGGATAGCATGCAAATAAATACAACTCATGGCAGGTAAGCTTTGAAAGTTTGCAACCTTCCAAACCTATTTCTGCTGGCTTGTGATAGTCCAGGGGTTCTCAACTCTGGTCCCCGTGGTCCAAATTCCTGCGGAGTTTAGCTCCAATTCTAATCAAACACACCTATTCAAGGTCTTCAGACTTACTAGAAAGTTACAGGCAGGTGTGTTCGATCAAGGTTGGAGCAAAACTCAGCAGGAAATTGGACCTCGAGGGCCAGAGTTGAAACCTCTGTAATGCTCTACACCAGAGGTTCTTAAACTTTTGGAACAAAAGCCTCCCCTTTTATGTGGCAATTTTACAATTCACGGTTCAATGTTGGACAGCGCAAGCCTGATGTCATCCTCCACGTGGAGCCGATTTCGGTACTTGGTTTACAATCCTTGGCAGTCAATTCTGAAAACCCGGCTTCGCACAGATAAGTTGAGGCGAATGGAAGAAGTAATTTTGCGTCGTCGTCAGACAACTGTGGATATTCAGTCATCACACTCAATCACAAAGAAGGCAGAGAGCAAGATCTATTGAGGTGTCACAATTTGGTGTCGCTCTTTAAATCGACTGACTGCTTCTCTATCTCTACTGAAAGGTCTTTTCCCGAGAAGGGATTTCTGACCCAAAAAAAAATGAAATAACGACCGAATTATTGTTTCAGTCCTTCAGCACTGACTTTTATCTGAAGGAAGAAAGATGTTGGCGTCTCTCCCTTCCATCGATGCGTTCAACAAATTATACCTGTCGAAAATGTCTACATGGTGTGACAACTGCACTAACCACAGGGGGTTGTCCAGGTACTGCGCAAGATTGGACTCCGCATCAACAAGAAACACCTTTACCTCTGAACCCAATTAGTAGAGGCGATGTAAAACCCAACCTCTGGAGAGCCAGCCGTTTTAATGTAGAGCTTGACACTGTCAAATGTATATCATGTGCAATGTGGCCTATAGTAGGGGGCTCTAAAGTTGCAAAAATACACAAAACTACAAACAGTTGCTTTAATAAAACTGGGGTAAGAAACCAACATAAGAATCCTATGTTTCTAGGACATTTATAAAATATCTTTTCCTCTTTATAATTTCAGAGCACACTCACGGTGTAGTTCAGGTCTATAGGTTGCGCCATCATCTTTACGGTTATCTCTTTGTCTTTCACTTTAGCTGGGTTCTCAGAGCAGGCCTTCACCATTGCTTCAACTGCCTCTGTGTTGGGCATTTGCAGGTAGGCCTAAAAAAAACAAAATACTGTTAAAATACATAATACAATATAATATAAAACAATATAATTAATAAATACTAACAACAATATAATAATAAAAAAAACACCATCCATTTTTTTAAATCAAAGATTTATGTCATTTTTGCAGTATGTCATCCAACAAAGACAGGAAATAGGAATCAGCGCAATTGACAATGGAAAGCGACGAGTCTTACACCAAGTTAATCAGCTAATGTATACGTTAGGAATGTTTTTATTGTTCGCAAATTATAAACCAGCTCATATCCATCCCTTCTAGTAGCGTGGATACATCAGCTAACTTTAGCAGAAAATCATTGTTTGACTATCATGGAAAAAAAATGGCCAATTTTAAAAGGTTTGTTTAGATTTAGATTTCTGATCCAGTTTATTTGCAGGCTCGTTTTTTTGCTGCGTTTTCCACCAAATGTCAACTAGTGATGTCGAAATACTATTGGGAACGCACATTTCAAAGCAAAGTAACTGGCTGTAGCATTGTTGTTGTTTTTAAACACGTATTTGAACTTAGCATGTTTCCTAAATCTCTGCAAACATATTATTGTATTTTTATGCTTTAGTACAGTCAAAAAAATTACATACAGCACCTTTAATGTTATTACCTTCTGTTGAGTGATTGCTATGACAGGAGTTTCAATGAACCCATATGGTTTAGCAAGATTGGTGAGGTCATCCTCAGTAACCCCTTCCTCTGGAAGATTCGTAATCTCGACTATATTTTTTCTCCAGGGTACTTCCTGTAGTCAAAGAAAGAAGGTAGAAGTAGTTATTATTTGTAAAAATAAAAAAATAAAAATTTGTATATACATATATACTGTAAGTATGTGTATATGCAGTTTTGAGGGAGAACACCAAATAACATACCTTCTTTACAAACTTCTTGGCAACTGCGGTCTCTGCCAAATGACACAAACAAATGTTATGCAGATTGTCCAACATGACCACAGGAACAACTACAAAGGAAGATGCAGCAACTTACCTGAACCCTTAACATTGGGTTTAACTTTAGCTGTCTGTACCATCTTTTTGGGGTCGTTCGGTTTTCCCTTGGTTACTTGAGGTGTCTTGAAACCTGGCAACTCTTTTGCTTTAGCTGGCTGAGATGCCTTCACTGGATTTGCAACCTTTACTGGATTTGCACCCTTCACTGGATTTGCACCCTTCACTGGATTTGAACCCTTTACTGGATTTGAACCTTTCACTTTCGCTGACTGGGTAGGTTTTGTCATAGTCATCTCTTTTCTAAAATAAGTCACAAATACATTCACAGAACCATTTGTAAAATGTTCAAAACAGGCATAAATCTAAAACTTTTTTGTTAATTTTTAGATGCAAAACCACGCATGCATGAGAACTTACTTCTTAACAGGTTTTCTCCTATCATCATCCTCTCTTGCATCCTACAAAAGCGCACAGATCAGATTTAATGCCAGGGCTTGGTATAGTTACCATCTCTAAGTGGACTTGGTAGAGTCAAACATACCTTCTCCATGCAGATCTTAATGACCTGACCACGAATTGTCAGGTTCTTAAAGTTGAGCAAAGCTCTGGCATCCTCCTCTCTCTCCATACACACAGAGGCCTGAAGAGAGGAAGAATCACAAAGGTTTGCTTTCACAAATTAGCGGCAATTTGGGGGTGGCAATCGCTTGAATGGTGGGTTCATTATTACTCTTAATGAAAAACACAACAACAAATCAGTATAATGACAAACTCACTTATATTAAACATAGAACTTTTATTAACAAAACGAATAAGATGGCGTTATTAGCAAAAGGAATAAGCATGGCAGACTCATTCCTGTGGTACGCTTGAAGGTGTGTGTGTGTAAATTAGAAGTCTTTCCTCTGGAAGTTGCCACCTTCATCAGGGGAAGTTTACAGATTGCCTTATTAATGTTTGCAGGTTCCCAATTAGCATTGGGTTTAAATCCAAAATATTGCCAAATAGGCGCTTTTACATTTTGCTTTGAAACCAAATCTTCCGCCATCGTGTTGTCAGTAAGCTCGCAGTCTTGCCTCACTCTCGTGAAAAAAAGGAAATCTGACTCCTGCTGCTGATCTGTGCTGCGACTCTCGCTGAATTAAGCAGGCACGTTCAGTTTGTAATCTTAGTGTTTGTTCTCTAACTGAACTAAATTATTTTTAGGGCCGGGACTTTAACGCGTTAATTAAGATTAATTAATTACAAACTTTAACGCGTTAATTAATTACACAAAAAAATTATTTTTAATCGCACTTATTTTTCCACCGCGGAACGTTTCTCACTGGATGAGTTTCGGCGGACCGATTATACTGGCGCACCAACTAGCGTTCATGTTCATGACGAAGAAGCTGACGAGATCGCTTTGGTTGGCCGGTGGATGGGAAATTTTGTTACAAAAAACGAACGGATGGAAGCGTCGATAAGAGCATGGTTGTGTGCAAGCTATGCAACAAGGAATTCGCTATTGCTATTAGTGTAGCAATATGCTATTGCTACACTTAATGGCAAAAATCGCACTGGTCTGCTGGACTTGGTTGAACAAAAATAAACAATATTTTGTTGCTTAAGCTTATGTATTCAGTCATTATTCAATGGTATACTAAAAATCCATGTGAAAAAAATTACTTCTCACTGTTCTCAGGTCAAATATTTATGCAATTAAAATGCGATTAATTTCGATTAATTAATTACAAAGCCTCTAATTAATTAGATTAATTTTTTTAATCGAGTCCCGGCCCTAATTATTTTTATTACAAAAAAAAAAAAAAAATCAAAACAACGGTGGAGGGCAGGGCTGGGCAAGTTATGTAATCGGTGCGCGGCCGACTATCGCAGCAAGCCTAATGCTAAGATTTCATCTTCGCCATTACAGGAATAAATTACATTTTAAAATAAATCAAAATGGAAAAGTTATGTTAAATTGTTACATTAATTCACAATATTGTAGTGTTTACTGTATTTACCTCTCGAATCGCCTTCAGGAGGATGGCAGTGTAGATCTTCCCAAAAGGTTCAATGGCATCAGACAGTTCTTTGTTGGTAGTCCCATGAGGAAGTCCAACGAGCCTCAGCAAACATGACGTGCCCGGGGCATCCCTGGCTTTAGGCTTCATTTCATGCAAAAACAAAGATAGCAATTAGATTTCATATTTTTAGCACAGATACTCTTATCTTTTTTTTTTTCAAAAGTGTTTTCTAATGACCCTGCAGCAAATACGACAATATAATGACCTTAAAGCCAAAGTAATGAGGGAACAAGCACATTTACAACTGCATGTAACTACTGTATGAAGATGTACCTTTGGAGTGCTGGGGGTCTTTGTGACGGAGGGTCTGCTGCTTGACTTGGAGTATTCAGTTCTCTTAGGTGGCGAAGGCCGTTTCCAGCTACTGCTGCTTCCCTTTGATGAGGAAGTAGAGGAAACACCCTTCTTCTTTGCTAGCTCAGCAAGCAGGGCTGGTGCCAAGGACTTCACCACAGCCTTCAAAGTATTACTGTCTGTAATTGAGGAAAGCTCAGCTGTGGGGAAGAAAAGAACTTCATGTAGTTGTACACCAACAGAAAAAATGATACATTGCATTGCAAGAGCATTGTAATAAGTGATCTTACCTGATGACATGAGTTTCATGGCCAGTCGTTCACTACTGCTGGATCTCTGCTGCCGGGACGGGCTGCTCCGCCGGGGACTCGAGCGGCGTGAAGGAGAGCGCCTACTGTAAACTGGAGACCTTGATCGTTGAGATGGAGGACTACGGGACCTTCGTCTGTAAGGACTTCCTCGAGACTTCCTATGGGGGGACCGGCTGTGACTTCTGCTACGCCGGTACCTTCTAGGGCTTCGGGATCGGGAGCGTGAACGGGATCGTTTACGACGGCTTGAAGAGTCATGGTGCCGCTTCGGGCTGGGGGATCTGGAGTACGAGTGTGATCGGGTGTGCCGCTTTGAGCTGCTGTGTTCTGATTTGGGCTCAGGTCTGTGGATGATTGACATTTTTAAGTGAATTTAAATGCCATTTAAATGAACAATTAAGTATAAGATATATATATATATATATATATAAAAACAAAGAAAAAAAATCTATATATTTCTAGAGCTAAATGCTCAAGATTGATTTTGGTAGGGATTTACCTTGAAACTGAGACAGACTCAACATTCCAGTCAGGGTATCTATAATAAAATAAATCAGGGATGTGATTGTGCGAGTGAAAAAAAAAGCAGGACATTTTTTTAAGACCCAGCGTAAAGCACTTTTTACTTTTTAAACACCTGAATCAGCCATTTACTGCATGAACTACCAGGAACTGTGATGAGTGACACACATGGAAATATATTTAACCGCTATAATTTATTTCTAGTAATACAAAACAGGACGTCTTAACTTATCTTTGGGGAAAATGTAAGGGCGATAACTGTTCTGTAGTTCTGTAAAGAAAACAACTGTGTTTCCAATACCGATCAATCTCATTCAGTAAATAAAATTCCACTCAAACTTCTACAATAGGAATAGGCAACATTAAATGTTTTTTGTGTTTTGGTAAACTGCACATCATATTCTGGCTACACAGATAAAACAACCTAAGAACCATTTATGAATTATATTAATGCTTTTTACGCATTTGAAAATGAAGACTACACAATCTTATCAGCATGATGAATAAACTATATTAACTGGAATAAACTGTACAAAGAAAGGGAGCAGAGAATGTGACCGATCGAGCTTTGCATGCTCTTTATACGCATAAATTACCTTTTACATATAAATGACCTTTTACGTGCATCCAATAAGCAATTTAGTGCCGTAGGCTACATGATACGCAGTTTTTTGCCTACCAGACGCATTACTTTTGTGTATAAAGAGCAAGCCTAATAAAAGCACTCGTGCTATAGGCCTAGATACGCAGTGCCAGGAACTATCATGAGGCTGTCCATAACTTGGGTCTAGCGCGAGTTTAAGTACGCACAAAACTCCCGTTAAAAATCACAGAAACGTGCGACATGAATCTCTTACATCGAATCTGCACTTTGTTGTTTATGATGGAAGTCAGAAGAATTCAGTCAGCGCACTGAACAAAACTATTCGTTTCAGCGATGACTAATCTGAACGCCTCTGATTGGTCATCACGCTCATAAACTCAACAGAAACGTGTGCGATTGGTTAAAATGCTCAACGCTGCAAAACGAAATCTGATGGAAATGGCGTAGTCGGATGGATCGAATGAACGTTAAGTATTGTAGTTTGTTTAACTAATATTATCACTTCAACATATTCTATTATATACATATTTTGAAACAAATTACAATGACTTTCCCAAAACATCCAAACACCCCCCACGATTTTATTTTTATTACTGATCTGCATGATTCACGTGGGTCATGATTTTAGGCTGAAATACCCGGAATTCCGGATTAATCCGGAAGAATCACATCCCTGATAAATATATGGCTTTTCGTTAGTTAAATGAGAAATTCTCCAATGGAATTCTTAGGTAAAGGAGAACATGAGCAATGGGAGCAAATCATAAAACACTCACTGTTTCCTAAGACGCCTACAACTCTCAATGTGAAGATTTGTGTTCTGATGTTCAAGCCAGTCCTGTGAACAAAACAAAACAAAAAAATACTTTAACAATGTCTTTGCTTTAAAAAAAATGCTTTAATTAGTACGTGTTTTAAACAGTGCAATTGATTATAAAAAATTGGTGTAACAGATGACCAAGATCTGCAAATAGATAAAAAAAAAAAAAAAGAAATACCAGAGGTCAAAAAGTAAGACATGATAAAGCTTGTTTAACCCACTATAGTCTCATTAGTGCATAAAAAAAATTGTCCATGATTGTCATGACAAAACTTCTTCAACACAAAAAAAAAAAGAAAAAAAAGTCCAAAGTGTGTTCTTCGGGGATTACGGAGATGGAGATCACCATCTGCCTTTTGTCTTCAGCACTGTGGAAAGTCTTCAGGTCTGCCTTCACAATATTTTTTTCAGCCAGTCCAAGGTCTTAAACTAGGTCTCAGCAAAATGGTTTTTCATCAGGCTTCCCCAGGTTCCCAGAAAACGGACCGATTAATTTTCTTCTGAAGCTGGAAATGGCTTGGAGTAGACAAGATGCATTTTTTTCAGCCATGGTTTACCAGCTGTATTATCTACTCTATTTACATCAGCTTATTGGCTTCTTCTTCTTCTTTTTTACCCACAATGAACTGCACAATTATTGAGCAACTGAAGTTAACAAACATTAATTTCATTATAGGTTTCTGATATTTTATTTCAGATTTAAATTTAGTACAGTTTTAGCTCAAAGTTCACCAACACATCGAAATGAATTAAACAGCAATCGAGACCCTTTACATACACCGAATAATGCAAAATAATGCAAACATCTTTCAAATGAGGCACTACTGGGTAAGAAGATACTCACCTTAATCTGGACACATTCAATGTTACATAGAGAGCATGTATGAGGAAAGATTCTTGGAGTAGCTGCTGAGTAATCATTCATCATGGTAGGAGTCGGAAGCCTCTTGGTGGCGGGCACGTTGATTGGAGGCGAAAGGAACGGGATCCAGTTGGCATTCGGACCTCCGGAGATAGTGTCCATGGCCATCATAGGAAGAAGACCAAGTTGAGGCGGCATCTGCGCAGGAGGTCGACCCGGGGGTGGCATAACAGTCTGGGATGCAGATGGTCTCACTGGGATCGTCTTCACGAGTCTTGGATCTACCGGTGGAGGTTTCTGAAGCTTTGGAACAGGGACTGGAGCTGGCTGGCATGGCTTAGGATGCTTTGTGATGTCCATGCCACTGAAGGGTGGTTTAGAGACCTCACTCACATACTTTGGTGACTCTTTAGGCAGGTGTTGTTCACTTGCATAGCCATCCGCGCTCTCCTCGGGGTAGCCAAATTTACTAGAATGTCCATAGTCAATGACTTGAGATCTCGCATCAACGTCCCTTTTCACTTTACGCATACGGATGTCCCGCAAAATAAACGGTAGGTTGTCAGGAGTCAGTTGATCATCTGGATAGTGACTTAGAAGCTCTAGGTCCTCATTGGAGAGTCCAAAGCTTGCTAGGATGCTGCTGGCACTTTCAGAGGTGTAACGTGAAGGCCGCTGTTCTGGTGGAGGTTGGCCGTCCAAACCGCTTGATCCTCCGCCAAAACCCGGAGACTGGAACAGCTGTGAGGAACTGGAAGGACGATCCAAGCTTGAAGATCCGAAGAGCTTGCTGGGGCCTTGGTATATGGACCAGTCCACCTCATCAGATCTCGAAGACCCTGAAAAGATGTTCCCTCCGGAGGAAAGCACCTCATCCCTTGTGTCCTTTCTCATGCGGGGATCTACTTTTTTGGGTTGCTGGAGCATTTGAGTGAGAAGGCGCACTTCCTCGCGGGCTCCCCGAAGGTTCTGGTCTATGGCGGCTTCAAGATCTGGGGAAATCTGTGGCTGCCGTTGTCCGAGTGAGAAGGGCTGGTTGACCAATCCCCCACGAGAACCGGACATTGAACCTGGGCCAAGACGGGCTGCCCCCAGCTCCATTCGAGGCTGTGACCCAAGACCATATTGGCCAGGCACAACGGGTCTCTGAGCGCTGGGGAACAGCCCTCCACGGGGATTATACAATGGGTGCGACATGGTGACCTTAAGCAAGTTGAGCAAGGTCAAAGCAGGTGTTGCAATTGCAGACGGAGTAACGCTTGTGCCAGCAATTGCATTCAGCTGGTGCAGTGCCAACTGAGTCTTTATCTGTGCCAACTGGAGGGAGACGGGGCCTAAGACCGGCAGACTCCCAAAATGTCTCAGGGAATTTGCAACAGGGGGCACAAAACTTTCCAAGAACAATGAAAAGCTGGAAAAATTAGGGGAAAAAACACACAGAAAGTGTTATTGGCTTGTCGTCTTCACGTCCTCACACAGAAACTGCAAAACGGCTGCGACCATTTTCCCCTTCTGTCACACTCTCAAATCTCCAGCTTCAAGGGATTAAAACAGGCTTCCATGTCTTCACTGAAGAAGAAAACAGCAAGCAAAAAGGACAAGACAGACAAAGGAAAATAATATCACAGTTTTAGAGTATCTTTACACAACATTCATGCAGGAGTTTTAGTGGTTTTCTTTCTTTTTTTGGCCTGGATATGAACAGGGAGGGGCAGACATGCCTTAAGACAGGAAAACATGATAGGTCAGACTGTTAATTCATAGATATTAGACAAATGTATTTTATGAATACTGTGAGCAGTATCTTGAGCTTTTTTTTATGTCAATGCTGGCTTTTCAAAATAAAACTTGGGAGTCTGAACGGTCCATCCATGTAAACAAAGATCACACTAGGGTGAATCATCTTCGTGAACGGTTTAATGAAAAAATAAAGAGACTAAAAAAAATCTACTGCTGTAAAATAAACTAAAGAGCTGCTGCACTAAACAATTCTCAAGACAACAACAAATTCTATGGGCTGTGTTTTACAAAAGATTTCTACAATCTACTTAGGCTTATGGTGCTTTTGGGAAACGCAGTACACAAAGTAAAGCAAAGATGTGAATGATGAACCTCAATATTTTTTTTCAAATAGTAAAAGTGTCAAGACAATCAAATGAAAGTGTTAAAGTCAACAAGAAACGGCATTTATCTTCCATAATATCACAATTTTTTCTAAGTTAAAAATAAAAATGATAGGGCAGGACATAATTATATTCCATTGGAATAAATAAAAAATCTGTCCCCTTAATGGCCATAATTGGCTTAACCTTAGCTAACAGACAATAAAGTCAGCAGCATGGAACAAAAGTGCACCATATCTATTTTTCAAATCCGCGTCATTTTTCTTATGCTTTGAATTTTTTTTTTTTTTTACCTTAATCTTTAATCAAAATAAATTCTCCAATCATTTAGTCTGCTTAAGCCCTGTACCTGCTGCAGGCATGCATTAAAATGATAGAAATTTAAAGAATGTTGGTAATCTAACAGTTGACAGTAATGATTGACTTTCATAGTAGGAAAAAAATACTATGGAAGTCGATGGCTACCGTCAACTGTCTGGGTTACCAACATTCTTTAATATTCTCTTCAAATATCTTTTTTGTTCAACAGAAGAAAGAAACTCATACAGATTTGGATCAACATGAGGGTGAGTAAATGATGACAAAACTTTCATTTTTGGGTGAACTATCCCTATAAGCTGCCTGCATTTTTTGTCCAATGCCCACATCTCAAAATCCAGTCAACGAGTCCCAGCCCAACATTTTTTTCCACAATAATCTGTTACTCTTTGATATCTGTCACAAGATGGAAGAATATATATATTTCCATTTCATCGTGGATTTACACTGTTGTGTTAAAAAGTAGCCTAAAACAATATCAAAACAGTGCAGATGTCAGTCAAAAAGAAAGATATTATGAACACATTTTTCTCATGAATAACGTGCACTAACAAAATTATGCACAATGAGACAAGTAAATGAGGTCAATTTTGATTCCAGTATTCTTCTGATATAATTGATTAATTCCAAACTTTCTTATAAAAAACTTTAAAAGGTATTGGTCTCAATATCAGAATTTTAGTGAACAAAAAAAAAAAAACTGTATTAACCACCATGCATCTGAAAACCAATACGACTGGGTTTTGTATTGCATTTACTGTCATAACTCAGCAGGAAGTGTTTTTAAGGAAAATATTTAGGCTACTGCACAAAAAAAAGAAGAAAAAAAAAGAAAGAAAAGTGTCTCAGACGTGAGGCCGCCATCCAGCGACTGAACACAAAATGTCCACTGAACAGCAGCCATTTCTGATAGCAGGCCTACACCTGTATTAAATGTCAACCACTGGACAGTGGACACTAGACAGAGACATTCTTTGGGCATTTTGAAGAAATACACAAACACAAGACGATGTTATAACCCAGCATCTGCTTCAGTTCCCCGGGTAGCAAAATTAGAGCACATGTAATGCAACTAAATCATGGCAAACTGCAAACAACTGCCAAAACACGTATTAGTGATGAGACTGACCGATCGACCGTGAAGAGTCATAACCAAACAGAAAACTATAAGGTAACGCTCCCATTATTACGACACCGCAAGATCGACCGTCGATCATTTTCAATGGCGTTATAGTCTGGGTGGGGTGTTTGCGTGATGTTTTTGTTGCCAGTGGATCTAATACAAAAATGAAAGCAATGTTTAAATGCACGAAATACGCAATATGGGTGATCTAATGGGCAGATTGGTAGTGAAATCAACTGGATCAGTGCAGGCCTCGGGCTCTGCTGCTTCGCCATGAGTATCGTTTACCTCGCTCTTCGTCGGCGTCGGCATTTTACAGAGCAACACGCATTTTATTCGACAAATAAATCACCACATTTACACTACAAGCGCTATAGAACACTATTGCAATGCACCACAGTAACATACCTCGTATTTTAATATGTAAAATCTTACGATGGAAATGCATCCGATGAAGAAAACGCTCCGATTTCAGGGGACGGTCGGTTTGCGTCTCAGACGTGACTACTCGATCGACGAGTTGTAGAACCACACAAATAGTCAGGAAAACCAATCAAACCAGAACCCTTGTGATACGGAAAACTGTCAAACTTTCAGTTATTACGTACAGTCTGTACAGACTTGTTATTTCGCGGAAAGGGTGAACATTTTTACACCGTAGGAAAAGAGAGACAGGTTTTATGCCGTTTCTTGTAAACAGCAGAGAGGGAGTCCTTTCCTTCAAGGATATCCAGGAGATGGCAGTGTTTTCATTTGTGAGACTCTGCTGGCTCAGGCAAAGACTCTAGGCTACTTGTTAAAACATCACGTCATAACAATGTAGGCCTACAAACGTTTTTCCCCCATATATATGTCAATGAAGGCATATATATTTATGTAGGCTATTTTAGCATTTTTTTTATGTTCTCTACGTAATTTTGCATTCGTCATTCACATTTAGTGTGACAAAACACCTGTAATTTAAGTAACTTCCTGAATAATTGTAGGCTTATTTTTGGGCCAGTAATAATCTGATATTCTGAAGTTCAGACGCTCAGTGTTGCTGCATGTTGATGTTCTTGACATCTAATCCTTGTCAAGGTCAGAGATTTTGTCACACCAATGTCTCTCTGACATTTCTGAACCGATCTTTCTATCACACATCGACTGTCTCACCGCTGTTTTTGAAAGAAAATATATTCAAACAAATATTGAGATTTTTATTACTTTAATTATTTGGTACATTTATTTTCTTGTTCGTTAAATTGCGTTCTTGTTAATAAGACATTTAGTAAATCAATGATGTATTACCATGATGATTTTCAAAAAGCATTGTCTGCATTGTTGATTTAATGCTTTTGTAACTTGTAATTTAGTTGTGATCATGAGAAAGAGATTGGTTTGGGATGCTGGTATGTCATGACTCAAAGTAGCTGTTATTCGCTTTAGGTGAAATTTTATGCCAAGTGTTCTGGCTCAGAAATTAAGACTGGTTAGTGACAACATTATTTAACCCTGATGTACCACATTATTTTTGGCCTTTGACAAAAATTTAGTGATATTAATGAACAATGTTTTGTGAATATTTCCAGCTCAGTTTATTGTAAATGCTTCTTTAATGTTAATGTTAAAGGGATAATTCTCCCAAAAATGAAAATTCTGTCATTAATTACCTAAGCTCAAACGTGCTGCTTAACACGAGAATGAATCTCATTGGTTCTCACACGGGTGAACATGCTTGAGCTTCTGTTTACCACGACTGTTGTCGTGTGAGTTAATTAATGTTTACATGTGAATAAAAGCCTAAATTAATCTGTTCATCATATAAAGCGATCGTGTCTCTTCAGAAAAATTGGACTAAACCACTCAATGGATTAGTTTTATGATCTCTTTATAAACTTTTTGAAGCATCAAAGTGATAGTTGTGTAGCTGACATCATATTGCAGATCAGGCTCCATTAAGTGACCCAGAGAAGCAGTGTTATGTGGCTGACAACGTCAAACATCATGTAAAACAGATAATGCATACAGTAAGCCCCAGCAGGCTGACATATCTGATAAATCACTGATCCTGTTTTTCATTCATCTTCCTTTCTGGTGGATAGGCCTATACACTATTGTTCAAAAGATTGGGATTAGTAAGGTAAAAAATAAAAAATAAAAAAAATAACATTTTTCTTTTGCAAGGACACATTACATTGATTTAAAGTGACTTTTACATTGCTACAAAAAAATCTGTTTCAAATCTGTTTCAAATGAATTTTGTTCTTTCGAACCTCGTATTCCTAAAATAATCCTGGAAAAAAAGAGGTCACGGTTTCCTCAAAAATATTAGGCAGCAAAACTGTTTTTAACATTGATAAGAATAAGAAATGTTTCTTGAGCAGCAAATCAGCATATTAGAATGATTTCTGAAGGATCACGTCACACTGAAAGGCAGGTGATTTGTTCCAGAAACATTTTTTGTTATGGTGGTTGAAAGTCTTTTCAGATCCTAATAGCAATCACTAAGTTAAGTGATCTAAATGTATTTAATGTATATCGTCTGTGGAAGGCGTAGGACCATAAAATGTTCATCCAATCATTGCATTCGGACCAAATGCTATTGGCGCTTTTCCACTGCTGGTACGGCTCGGTACGGCTCAGTAGGCTACGGTTCGGCTCGGCGCGGCACGGTTCGGCTCGCTTCGCTTTTCCACTGCTTGGTACGACTCGGCTCAGCACGGCACGGCGCGGCTCGCTTTAGCTCGGTTTGCTTTTCCACTGCAGTTAGTACCGCTTCAAAGTGGGTGGGATTATAGTCGGACCGTTATAGTTTATCCGCTCCTCGGCAACCAACGAGACGAACGTCTGCACTTCGTCCACTGA